GAAAGGTGAAAGGTGTTTTCGGTACAGAAGTGAGGAGTGTCCGTATATTTCTACATTGCTCCCTTGCAAATATTATTGCCTTGGATTCATCAACAAAAGAATATTTTAAAATGAGTGGAAATTTTTTTTAAGAAATTATTTTTGAAAACAATCGTTGTTTTAACCCAAATTTTGATTTTTATGGAATTTGGTCATTGATTGACTACAGCCAAATTCACTCAATTTTAAACAATACGTACCACCAATAGATCCAATTGTTGCGTGATATGCTAACCCCCCCCCCCCCCCAATCTTTAATTTTGGAGGAAAATTTTTTTTTTTTTTTCATTTGTATAAGCGATCCATTTGTTTTTTTGATTTCAATGTTGTTTTTTACAAAGATTATTTAGTTTAAGAAATGGATGAAAGTACAATATAAAGCACGATAAATGCGTTTTCAGCCAGTTTTTCAATTGTTTTTCATGAAATTACTTTGGTGCTACGTCTCTTTATTGATATTTGTTCATTATATCATTTGTTTTATTACAATTTATACTGATTTAAAAGCTATTTTTCATACTTTGATATTTCATAGCTTTTGTGGTTGGTTCTCTTGGCAGTTATGTGTGGGGAACCAGACTGCTCTTCGTACTTTGGGTGTGGCCGGAGGAGTGGCTACGGCAGTCTCCCATAATTGCGTTAGAAACTTCATTCGAGGTTCCCATCGCGTCTAGAGGGCCTGGTGCGGACTTCCTGACAGTGTCGACTAATTTGACTTCACCCTTTTTTTCGGCACTGTATTCTTCTCTGTTTTATTTTTTGTCTTTCTTGATATGTATTGGTTAGTTTGTTAGCTTGCAAGTGTGTTTCGTAATCAAATTAGTCATATTCGTCTGGTTGATTCCCATCAGTGGTTTCCCTGGGTCGTTTGAGCTCTATTCTGTGGCACAAACTTGTTACTTATCGATTTTAATCGGTAAGTATGTTGATAGGTATTTGTATGTCTGTTAGATGCACGCGATATCTCGCGAAAGCGGGATTGAATCTGCTACAAATTTTGCATGTGCATTCATCTTATCTCGGACCAGAATCCTATTAATTTTGGGCGAATTATGTCGAATATTTAGCGAGTTATCAATCAATTGTTGATGAAGTGATCTAGATTTTTGTAAAGCGAGAGAATTTTGAGACCCGCCGAGTGTGTGTGTGCGATGCGCAGTGCGCAAGTTACAAAAGCGGATGAATCGAAACTGCAGTTTCTATTTTGGGGGATCCCCTAACTATCGATCGATAAGTCTTCGGTTTCCAACCGATATTCTCGTTTTGTATTTTATTCGATTCACCACCACTTGCCGCCACAAACTCACACTCGGCGATGGGGTAGATGACATATATATATTAATTTAAACCGCTTGCCTTAACTATCCCAATTTTAATATGCATTTATTGCAACACTTATCAACGGGAATTTATTAGTTTGGTTATTAAATTTCTCTCCTTTCACTGTTTCAGAATTTCAACCAGGTTGATAGGAAAAAGCGAGCGGTAATTATAATTCTGTTCTATTTTCTTCATGTTTAGAACCCATCGCCGAGTTAGCCAGCCCCTCGCAACAATTTTATATTTGTTAATTTTGCATAAAAACTAACTTCAAGATTTCGTTACTTTCAACTTTTATTGTAAATATGTCATTAGCTTCGTTTTTCTTTGGCTCAAATCATGAGGTGCTGAATGACCATCGTTGTTCGCATATATACGGATACAAATATATAATCTTTGTGCATGGAAAGAGTGTCATTCTATGTAAAACATTGTTGTGCGCAGTCGCTCGTGAATCAAACTCATTTCGGACTAAAGTTACTGGCGATCAGTAAGGTGCCAAAAGCTACTGAGATTATAACAAATTATAGCAATCAATTGTGCATTAGTAAATACCCATCGACCGGCATGAATCTTTGTGTCTTGTTGGTCACACTTGCACCAACTGTATGAGAAGTCACAGCCAAACGTGTATGAGAGCTGAGTATTTGTGTGGAAAGAATAAGACGAAACTTATTCCATGGAATGAAGCGTTTATTTATAATTCACATAAATCATAATTTAATTAATCATAATGATCATGCCCATGCCGTTAGATTCTTGAAAAGACCTATCAGAGGCTTGCAATAAGCCAAAATCACTAGACCATGACTGGGGGTAGGGGAAAAAAAATTCTTGAAAAATGCATTAAACTAATTTTTCCCAACGTACCTATGTACTTCTCAATATCTTCATTTTGAATCGCGCAACGTTCCGAACTCACTGGAGCGTTACAGAGAGGGGAAAATCTCAAATTTCCGGTGGTGAAATATTCCAATAATTATTCTCTTTGATATTTGAGCATCCCTACGCCCGAAATCTCATTCCAAGTGCTCCTAATCGTCCAAATACATTAATAACCAAGGAGGCGTGGCTTTCCACACGTTTTCTCACCACTGGGGGCGGAGGCAGTGTCCCCACCCCGAATTATACTTGGACATATTCCCAATACTCGGGCAAACGCTTTCCGGCCCCGGAAACGGAGCTCAACGGCCTCTAAATACCAAAATCACTCTAGCGTGGCTTGATTGACAACTCGATGTCAATAAATAAACGACATCTATCAACAACAAGGGAAAATTTTGTACGAAACCCCCGCCAAAAAACAGTATTCCCGAAGTATGCGAACCAAGATGACGGACACCGAAACGTCACTCGCCTAGTCACCGAACTCATAATAGAACTAAACTAAGGATAACTGGAATAAATGCAGAATGAATGCATTTAGTGTTATGAAGTTATACAGATTGAGCTGGAAATTTAAATTTTCAACTTCTTTCCTTACCCCAGCCGGTTGATTACTTATTTGTCATTTTAAAAAGTGGCGGCGATGATTTACGGAAATCTCACATTTTTGCCTTAGTGGCGTAGGCTTTCTACAAAACATCCGAAAACTGACCCGATAAAATCATATGAAAGATTAAAGGATGAGATGACAAGAATGGCCGCGAGCAAAAAGCTTCACTCGGTACGACAGTTACCTTCGCCCTCGATTGATAAATCCAATCTAACCACTTTTGTGTTTAACAATATTTATTTTTTTCAATTTTCCCTTGCAATTTCCCTTTTAATTGCAAATTCACAGCGACCTTGCATTATTGTCATAAAATGATATAGTCCTGCGGTTCCCAAACTATGGGTTGCACCCACTGGTCGGTCGCAAAAGGAATCTTAGTGGGTCGTGAAAAGATGTAGAAAGCTTCGATTAATTATACTGGTTATTAGGATCGGTGGCGACTCGAATACGTAAATCTTCAAAAAACAAAAGAAATTAAATTGAATTTTAATTCTAATCTGTGAAAGTTTCCTTTTTACCATCTTTCCAAAGGAACAAAAATATGCTACACAAAGAATGACCATGTGGCTTTTTTTACGCATAGCAGTTTTGTACACTGTACAGCACTTCTTACCGTGTTTCCCCGAAATTAAAACAGGATTTAGATTTATTTTCTTCTGAAGAATAACACTATGTTTTTTTGGAAGAGGTCTTTTGTATTCATTTATCAAAAATAAAATTACATTGTAGAAAATCACAAGATTTTTTACTAAACATTATATAAAAACCGACATCCATTTTTTTATTTGTATTTCCTATACAAAAATCAAGTGACAAATATCATAATTGTGATAATACACAATCTGGAATAGTGGTGTGATCTTCACCTTACCTCAGGCCAATGAATCTTTCTTCTCTCACACATTTTAAATTTATTTTAAGGTTAGGGTTTAAAATCATTTTGAAAATTCAAATTAGGTCTTATTTTCAGGCCAGGTCTCATTCTCGAGGAAACACGATAGTTTTGCGATGATTAGCCATTGCTTGGTTCTGTGTTATGTCAAAAAAGTAAAATAGGTCGCCATAAGCTGTGGTAAGCATTTTTTTTCAACAAGAAATTTATCACATTCACTTATGGATCCTGAAAAGCAAAAATAATTGCGATATTGTGTCAAAACAGCTGTTAAACAAAGAACACATATTACGCCACACTGCAAAAGTGTTGATTACCGATGGTTAATCGTGTTGCGCAATCTGTGGCGTCAGTCCCGTTTCTTTTTAGCCTTACCTCGTATATCATGATTCAGAAAACGCATGAATTTTAAAATGATGCAACTCTATGAGCAACTGACGAGAAAATATTTGTTAGTTGGGTATTCTGAATTCCTTGTTATTGATGCTTCCCTGAATACGAAATAAACCCGTTAATCAAATTGGTTTTTCTCCATACCTACTTGACCAATCGAACCCAAATTTTCAAAACTTGAGAATGTTTAAAGCACTAGATGGTCATTACCTTCCTTTCAACATTTTTATAAATCCAAGAGGTCAGACACTTCATCGGAAATTTGGCTTTTTCAAGTCATGGGAATATGTTTTATGATTATTTCTCCATACATACTGGGCCACTCGATCCCAAATTTTCAAAACTTGGGGATGTTGAAAGTGGCCCGTGTTTGGCCCAAAATTTAGTTTTGGCTTATTGTTTCCCACTTTTGCATTTGTAACACTGTAATATTGTTCATAAAGTGTAACTTTTTACGTCACACATACATGGCCCGCCAGTCCAGGTAGGCAAAACTGTTGGCCCCTAGTCTGAAAACCGCGCCCACCCCTGCACTAGACTGCCATTACGTTTTTTAAGCATTTTATAAATCCAGGAGATTGGGCATTTCATCAAAAATTTCATTAGTTCAATTCCAGTCATGGAAACATGTTTTATCGGATGTAAGATGAATAAAAGGTTTGATTTTAAGACTGATTGGTAATTTTGGGACTTATTAGGGGTCATTCTGTCAGGGAACCGACAGGCGACATCAATTTGATATAAGGTTTTATATCATATATCACTATATTTCATACTAGACGACTGCAAATATGACCTGGACCACAAAACAAATCCCCCGTGTATTCCCTGTATATTCTTACATCGACTTCTGCTACTTACCAACTACTTTAGGTGTTGTTACGTTGGGATTCAATGTCTCTTCGTCAACAAAACTTCTTTCAGCAGGTGAACGTGGAGTTGGAACAGGCTCTGGATCTCGATTGGAACCTGAATATAATAAAAAAAGTAGTAAAATAACAAAAATCACACGATCATCTGCATCATATCCAAATTAACTATCAAAAAGGAATTATATTGTGTATTAATTTGATGACGGAAAATTATGTTAAAATATGATTCCCTTAAAACTCACGTGATGGTCAGAAATCGTTCAAATCAAAAATAATTGACGGAGAAGTCCAAACATTGAGAAGAACCTTTCAACCATAACAATGCGTATTTGACTTATTTTGAGGCAAAAATGTCTTTCTTTCAACTGCTGGACATGTTTTTAACGTTTTTCAGTTTCACCTGAAAGGTTCTGCGACAGGCTTTGTAGGCCTTTGGGAGGCGGCCTAAAATATATTCTCGGAAATAATATCTTTTTAATCGGAACAATTTCAAAGGTTTTGCAGAGTTTAGAATTTTGCACCACTTGGCTATAAAACCTTTAGGGTATTTACGGTATAACAATGTTATTTTCACCTCCTCTAGTTGGCCTTTTTTTTGATTTTTTCTTTGGCTTAATTGAATCCAATATTTCTGGTTTGTTGGTTGGCACTGTCGCCTCGATATCTTCAAGCTGTTCGTTCCCTGGTGAAGATATCTGCGCTCCCGGTGCGAGAGGTTGATTGCTACCAGGATGAAGCGCTATGACAAAATAGCAGCATTAAAAAAATTGGACGAAACATAATATAAATGAGCTGTCAATTTTATGCTGACTGCCAGCTCACTTTAAGGCTACAAACTATTTCAAAAATGACTCTGGGTGTTAAAAATACTTCAGCTTCAACTAAAAAAACAGATTTTGATTACGATTACTTAATAATTTTTGGTTGTAAAAACTTGGTGAAATAATTTAGCAGTTTCTGTCGAAAATATTTACTTCTGAGACTTTGATACAAAAATTCAAACATTTAAAATACGAGTCCAAGTTTCGACAATATTAATCAATACAAGTCAAACTCCGCGACCTTGATTTTGGTTCATTTATTATTATTATGAGATTCTTCTCGCCTTCAAATGATGCTGATAAGAGGCCACTGATTTAAAATTCATTTAGATGAAACGAAACTTTTGAAAAAATAAATTGAAGTAGCGTTGTCCGAAGCTTTACTTATGGACATGAACGACAATTTTATGATGTCAATTCACCCGTGATGTAATAAATTGGGTATGGAACGCCCAAAAGCTAAGATTCCGGTCTTCATAAAAGAGTCTCCCAAGCCATGAAGCTAAATTATATAGTTGGCCATGACAAAATCAATCTATCAAACTAATTAATTCCCAATTAATGCTTTTTTGGCAAATAATGGGCTGCTTGCCTAAAGGCTTGTTCAATGTGTCGGAGTTAAGAAAAACCAACAAACTTGCCTAAAGGCTTGTTCAATGTGTCGGAGTTAAGAAAAACTAACAAACATATTAAATTAAATATTTCAGTGCTCCAGAATATTTGTATCAATTTGGTGAAAACTAATTTTGTTCGCCTACTTCACATCAAGTTGTATAAAGGGACTGAAACAAGTACTCCCGAAGTATGTAAACCAAGATGGCGGACAACGGAACATAGTATGTGTACCAAGTTAAGCATAATTTCAGGTACAAATAAGACGGGAGTCTCTTGGCTAGTCCCCAAACTCATAAGAGAACAAAAATACAGAAAATCGGAATAAAATAATAACGTAACTCTACCCTGGTACGCATACTACGGAAGTACCAGATTTTTCTACCTGTTGTTTTGGGTCTTGCTCCAGATGCCACATCTCGTCTATGTGAAGGCTCAGGTGGAATTAGTGGGAATGCTTCTTGTATTTCGGGATTTGATGCAGTGGGGATTCCTAAATGTAAATCAAGCATTTAAATTTGAAGCGAATAAAGCGAGGTGTAATGTTTACATCTCAACTAACTCCGCCTCACCCAACTTTCTACGTTCAGGCTATAATTAGAAGGATTTTTGAATGTAATGACGTCACCGCTAATGGAGTCATATTCATAAGAATCTCTATATAATATATCATGATTCAGAAAACGCATAAATTGTAAAATAATGCCACTTTACGACCCAAAAATAATTTTTAGTCGAGTATTCTGAATTCCCTGCTTTTGAGGCTTTAGTGAATTCGACCCCTTTATTATATTTTTCTTTCAATCCCGAATTCTCAGAACTTGAATAGAATCGAATCCGCTAGACCAGGGGTGTGCAACAGGTGGCCCGCGGGCCACAACCCGGCCCGCCAAGACAATAAGTGTGGCCCTTGTCAACACTCAAATATTTTCCCACTAAGCATCAAATTCTAACCTGACAGTTTATGTTTAAAAAAGCGCACACAGGGGTTAAAATCCATAATTTTAGGGCTTTCGTCTTTATTACTGTAAGACTAAGCTATAGCCTTTTTGTGGTGAGAAATGTTTAATTCATTTTGTACAAGAAAGAAATTGAATTTTTTGAATGGCCCAGCTAGATGTCAGAAGTTGGTTATATGGCCCGCCAACAAAAAATGTTGCACACTCCTGCGCTAGACGGTCATTACTTTTTTCCAACATTTTAATAGATCCCAAGATACCAGACATTTCATCGAAAATTTTGCTTATTTATTTCAAGTCATGGAAATATGTTTTATTGGATGAAAGATGAATGATAGGTTGAATTTTATGAAAAATCTGTACTTTAGGGTCATTTTATTCAGGGCCATGGAATCGACAATAATATGATATAAGCTTTCATATTAGACGATGGTACTCCCGTACAAAGTGAACCAAGATGGCGGACATCGGTACGTACTATGTGTACCAGGTTACATACTGGGAGTCACTTGACTAGATCCCGATACCGCATTAAAACTAAAATACTGAAGATCGGAATAAAATTGTGGCCTAATCCTAATCTGGTACACATACTATATTTCGGTGTCCGCTATCTTGGTTCACATACTACGAGAGTACCCTAATATATTATGTCAGTTCGCAGAAAATCTTCCATATATTCTTACATCGACCATAACAATGCGTATTTGCCTTATTTCAAGGGAAAATTGACTTTCTTCCAACTGCTGCACTTGCTTTTAATATTTTTTTAGTTTCACCTGGAAGGTTCTGTGAGAGGCTTTGTAGGCGTTTAGGAGGCCTACAGTATATACTCAGAAATAAACTTTTGGCCACACCATTTGGAGATAAGACGTTCTGGGTATAATAATGCTTTTTTTACCAGCTCTATTCGCCTTTTTCTTTGTTTTTTTCTTTGGCTTTATTGAATCTATTACTTCTTGTTCGCCGGCAGGCACTGTCGCCTCGATCTCTTCCAGCTGTTCGTTCCCTGGTGAAGATATCTGCGCTTCCGGTGCGGGCAGTGCGAGAGGTTGATTGCTGACTGAACGAGGATGAAGCACTATGATACAACAACAAAAAGCTTTGAAAAATTTGATCGGGACATTTTTGAAATGAGCTGTCAACTTCAGAGCAGGGCAGTGGAAATAAAAAAATACACCCGCTACAAACTTTTTCAAAAATGACTCTCTGGGTGATAAAAAATACTTTGGCTTCGAAAACCAGACCATGAAACCAGATTGTTATTACGATTACTTTGTCCTTTCAGTTTTCGGTTTTGAAATCTTAGTGAAATAATTTAGCAGTTTCTGCAGTTTAGTCAAAAATATTTACTTCTGAGACTTTGATACAAAAATTCAAATTCTCTTTTGATTTTCTACACCAGGGAGTTTTAAAATACGAGTCCAGGTTTTGACAATATCAATCAAAACAGGTCAAACTCCACGAACAATCCTAACCCCCACCTGACTACGCCATCCAAAAAATATGTCACTACGACATCACAATCACGTCATATAGCTTGTCAAATAAACGTACGATCGCCTGGAATGGCATCAGCCCCAACGATGAAGAACTGACAAACGTCAGCGATCTCTTTCATACTGGGATCGTCGCAACCACTGAACTATATATATATCTCTGTGGTCGCAACAAGAAAACGAGAGAAATAGCTGTTCGATTTTGGGTGTGCAGACGACGTCTTGGATGACAGTTCACATATTTTGAAGGTATATATTATGTCAATGTGTCGTCACACCTGTGGGTCGCAAAGACGTAATTATTGGATGGATTAGTCAGGTGGGGGTTAGGATTGACAAATGAAAATATTGTTATGCTACGCCTACTAGAAGTATGCGTGGTACTAAACTATACTAGACCCGTCAAGCCTAATGCTTCAAACGCGTCGTCCAAAAATCAGAAATTTTGTGATCGTAGAAGATCTTCAATGCAGCAATAGCTTTGGCATATTGAACGGTTCGCTAGTTGGATGTATCACAGCAAATCTAACACAGACCTTCTCTTGCTCCTTCTCCATGCCAAGGTAAAGCAGGTCGTTGTTCGGGACCACCTATTGCAGGTACCTGAGAACTACCAGATGCTCCTTCCCCATACCAAGGTAAAGCAGGTCGTTGTTCGGGACCACCTACTGCAGGTACCTGAGAACTACCAGATGCTCCTTCCCCATACCAAGGTAAAGCAGGTCGTTGTTCGGGACCACCTATTGCAGGTACCTGGGAACTACCAGATGCTCCTTCACAATACCAAGGTAAAGCTGCTTGTCCCCCTGGGCCACCGATTGCTGGAGGTTCTTGTGACCCTGAAGAAATAAATTAAATTTCAAATTTGCAGAATAAGTTTGGAATAATGAGTGTGAATCGCTTTTGCTAATAGTTTCCCTTATTCAGGTTGTTGTTGTTAATAAGAATTGTTAAAATTCAAAAATCAAGGTAGAAGAACTCGTTCCTTTTTCAAGTTAATCTGAGGACTTAACGACCCATGATTTCACAAAAAGAATTTTGTGCAACTTTTATGGCGTATGAAACAATGTATCCTTGCACTCTTGTTCTGATAAAAAGGTCTTATTAGTACGGATGTAAGTTTCGTGTCCAAATGGTTCAGCAGTAGAATTTTAGCGCTGTTCAAAAATATAAATTGAAATTTTTTTAGAAAGCAATTGTTGTTTTACTCAAATTTTTCTTTCAAAAAAAATTGACCCTCCCCATTGATGTCGTTGTTTATGCAATTTTAATCAATACGTACCCCCTATTGCTCCGATTGTGGATCCTCTTACTTGTGATTTCGACCTGAAGATATTAAAAACCAATTTGATAAAAATTTATATGAAGAGTTTGTTTTTACACAATAAATTACAACTATAGTTTTTTTCATTTGAGTGGCTTCTGTCTGGAGGCAAATTTTATTGTCCTGAATAAAGCGTTATATTTGGCTTTAAGTTCTTCTTGTACCTTGAAATCATACTCGTACATATAAGCAATCACAGGTATGAAGATTAAAAAATGTGGAAAATGGCTTGAGTCTGTATTTTTTAAATCTTGAAATAACGTTTCAAATTCACAGAATCAAAGCTGAGAACTCACCCCACGATGTCTCCTTTTATTACTGAGCCTTGATAAACCGGGGCGCCGTAATAATGAACGTGTTGGTGGTATTCTATAACATTGCCAGTTTGTCCACCTAGTGCGGCCGGTTGTTGTTGAACCGCCTGCTGCGGGGCTGTAGGCTGAACATCTGTGGGTCCTGCAAACAAATAATAGAGTTGGTAACTGTGCATTGAAGTTAATAATTGCGTACCCAGGTATATATATAATTTCATAACACATTTTCAATTTTGTAACACAACCAAAAAAATAAAGAATGACATTTAATAACCCCTATTTACCTTTGTAGTCGCTGATAGCATGTAAGATACAATTTTAATGAGTTCATTATCCACGCAAACGTTACAGCTCTAACTCTGATCATATAGCATTCTAGACAGGGCTACAATTTTAGCTGATGCTGTGGTTCTAGACTTGTTGGAAGATTATCAAATGGCCGTTTTTAACAACTTATTACAAAATATTGCAATCGCAACAGTTATACATATACTATAATAACTAAAATTCAAATTTGCAAAATCTCGCAACCCAAGTACACACTCAAATACTACATGGCATGTAGCGATTTTATTGTCACAAAATTGAATGAGTAACATAAAACAAAGTAAGAAACTGTGCTTTATTATTGGGTGCTAACTTAGTGTATATTGAAGTAAAAAGACTTCCTTGATAGTTAAATGTTATTCGTCACGTGTTCTTTAAATAAAATCTACGTGATTAATATTTAAGTATTGTTGCATATTTGGGAGTCTCCATCGGTCCATGACTCTAATAATGTTTTCTTCCGGCCAAACAAAATGTTGTGAAAGGAAACTCCTGGAAGTGTAAACTAACCACAAACTTTCAGATTTTGTTCAAAAAACATGCTACCCAAGAAAATTTTCAGGCGACCCAATATTTGGAAACCCTGGTGTAAATCAAGACATTTAAACCATAAAATATATACATTTCTCACCTTCGCCTGGTTCTTCAACCTGATATTCCTGTCCTGGCCCTTGCTCTTCATGGATCTCATCCTCAGGACCCAAGTCCTGAATCATAGGTCCCTGTTGTTGTTGTTGTTGTGGGGATTCGTTTCCTGAACCGTCGGTATCATTGCTGGAATTGTTATCAATGATATCGGACTCGATTATTTGTTGAACAGCTGGATCCGCCTCGATTGTTTCTGTGTCGGTAAGATCGGATTTGTCTGTTTTTTGATCGATAGACTCAATTGTTTGTCGATCGATCAAACTAGGAACGATTTGTTGTTGTTCAGAGTCGGACATTATTCTAGATTTCTACTGATTTATATTCCTGTGACAAGTAAAATATCCAAGTTCAGTCAAATCTGTAGATTTGTATTTTCTCATTTGTATGGAAGACTTCAGCACTAAAAGCTCCAAATATCAAATAAATTTGACAAATCAATATTTCCATTCATGTAATAATGTCATTGATTTCTATATTGCACCATAAAAATATTCAATCATAAGACAATGATGTTTCAACTACAATGTTGACTGCAACATATTAAACCAAAATATATTTTCCAAACAACCAGAATGAGTTTGAACTGGTTGACTTTGTCACCTAAAAGTGCTGTACTACAACTTCCTTCATAGTTCGTTTTTACTATTCGGTAAATAGTAACATACAAAATTAAGAAAAATAAATAAATGAAATCGAACACATATTTTTACTGGTAAAGCGAATTCGCGGAGAATCAAACAACTGGTTACTACAAACCTTTTATCCCTGATATAGGTTACAATTAAGTTCTCTGATCTGATTCGCCAGAGAATAGCTGAAAATACCTTTTCGTAAACGCTTGTTTAATATCAGAATCAAGTCTGTTGACTGTCTGACTGGCCACAAGTCTCCTAAATAATAATAAATACTCAAACATGAAATACGCAACAATCATACGCGACATAACATTCATCTTCAAGCAATTCTTAAACATTGGAAATTCATCTTCAATCCTTATTGTCTCCTAACAATGCGCGGGGCTCCCGAAGTATGCGAACCAAGATGGCGGACATCGGAATGTAATATCTGTACTAGGTTAGGGTTAGGCCCTAATTTTAGCTATAAATACTACGGGAGGCTCTTGGCTAATTTTCGAACTGATAATAGGACTAAAATAAGGAAAATTGGAAAAAAATTATCGCCTAACCCTAACCTGTTACCCATGTTACGTTACGACGTCCGCCATCTTGGTTCGCATACTTCGGGAGCACCCAATGCGCTTACATTCAAATAAGACGATCCCTATTATAGACAAGACGATACGCTGAACAGAGTTTGACAAATAAATTTTCAGTATACGCGATTTACAGCAATACAAAAATTCAAATTCCACAAAGTCGATCAAGCATAGACACTGGTTTGAAAAAAAAGCGTATATTTACGTCACCGATTCACGTCCAAATACACGAGTGCCGCCTTATAAACCTTCGATTTTATTTCATTCTACCACGTATGAAGCACATATAAGCATATCATATCAAGATACGCAACTTCCAGAGATATGCATGATAAAGCATATATGGGCCATAGATAAAATACTTCAATAGGATCTTTACGCACGAAGATCATCTCGAGGCTGTCAGACATGAATTATATAATTTATAAAAAAGATATGTTGAGTGAGTGAAACTTATTTAAAATCAAAGAATCCAACAAAGTTTATTTAAATAGGATGAAAATTCATGGAATATCTGTCGAAGGAAACACAATGAAATATTTTTTAATAGCAATGTTCGCTATATCTTTACAAGGATACCGATGTCCGCTTTGCCCATACTAAAATGGCTATATCCCTACTAAAATGGCTATATCCCTACTAAATTGGCTAAGTCCGCTATGTCCCTACTAAAATGGCTATATCCCTACTAAAATGGCTATATCCCTACTAAAATGGTTATGTCCGCTATGTCCCCACTGGAATGGTTATGTCCGCTATGTCCCAACTTGACCCGCTATTTCCCATACTTAAATGGCTATGACCGCTATGTCCCTACTAAAATGATTATGTCCGCTATGTCGCGACTGAAAAAACAATGTCCGCTACGTCCCAAATAAATGGGGTATGCCCGCTATGTCCCTACCACAATGACTATGCTCGTACTGGAATACCGATGTTCTCTATGTCCCTACTAAAATGGCCATATCTGCTATGTCCCTACTAAAATGGCTATATCCCTACTAAATTGGCTAAGTCCGCTATGTCCCTACTAAAATGGCTATATCCCTACTAAAATGGCTATATCCCTACTAAATTGGCTAAGTCCGCTATGTCCCTACTAAAATGGCTATATCCTTACTAAAATGGCTATATCCCTACTAAAATGGTTATGTCCGCTATGTCCCCACTGGAATGGTTATGTCCGCTATGTCCCAACTTGACCCGCTATTTCCCATACTTAAATGGCTATGACCGCTATGTCCCTACTAAAATGATTATGTCCGCTATGTCGCGACTGAAAAAACAATGTCCGCTACGTCCCAAATAAATGGGGTATGCCCGCTATGTCCCTACCACAATGACTATGCTCGTACTGGAATACCGATGTTCTCTATGTCCCTACTAAAATGGCCATATCTGCTATGTCCCTACTAAAATGGCTATATCCCTACTAAATTGGCTAAGTCCGCTATGTCCCTACTAAAATGGCTATATCCCTACTAAAATGGCTATATCCCTACTAAATTGGTTAAGTCCGCTTTGTCCCCACTGAAATGGTTATGTCCGATATGTCCCAACTTAAGTGGCGACACCCGCTGTTTCCATACTAAAATGGCTATGAACGCTATGTCTCTACTAAAATGATTATGTCCGCTATGTCCCCACTGGAATGGTTATGTCCGCTATGTCCCAACTTAACCCGCTATTTCCCATACTTAAATGGCTATGACCGCTATGTCCCTACTAAAATGATTATGTCCGCTATGTCGCGACTGAAAAAACAATGTCCGCTACGTCCCAAATAAATGGGGTATGCCCGCTATGTCCCTACCACAATGACTATGTCCGTACTGGAATACCGATGTTCTCTATGTCCCTACTAAAATGGCCATATCTGCTATGTCCCTACTAAAATGGCTATATCCCTACTAAATTGGTTAAGTCCGCTTTGTCCCCACTGAAATGGTTATGTCCGATATGTCCCAACTTAAGTGGCGACACCCGCTGGTTCCATACTAAAATGGCTATGAACGCTATGTCTCTACTAAAATTATTATGTCCGCTATGTCCCCACTGGAATGGTTATGTCCGCTATGTCCCAACTTAACCCGCTATTTCCCATACTTAAATGGCTATGACCGCTATGTCCCCACTGAAATGATTATGTCCGCTATGACGCTACTGAAAATACAATGTCCGCTACGTCCCAACTAAATGGGATATGTTCGCTATATCCCTAAAAATACCAATGTACGCTATGTCCCTACTAAAATAGTGATATTCACCATATCCCTACTAAAATGGCTAAGTCCCTTCTGAAATCTCAATCCCAATATGGTTCTAGTGAAATTGCTATGTCCCTATTAAAATAGGGACACAAAAACGGGGTATATTAAGCCAAATATTGCGGTCACTACGACGTCACAATCGTGAAATACAGTCGACTGAGATATAAAGACACAAAAGATAGGTATATTCAGCCATACATTGCTATCAGACACGTATTGCAATAGGTATAGTTCAGTACCGCAAGTACTTTTAGTGGTATGGACTATTCATTTTTGCATGTTTTCTTCTATAATTCCATGTAACTACGTAATCAAAAAATTACACTACTACGATGTCACAGTCGCATAACACAGCCAATTGAAGTATAAAGACACAAAAACAATACCTATATATTAACCCATATATTGGGATCAGATAGGTAGGGCGATGGGTATGGTTCAGTACCACAAGTACTTTTAGTGGTCGTGTGCTAACCATTATTCCATATTTAATTTTAGGTCTCCACGTGACTACGCCATCCAAAATTGACGTCACAATCGCACATCACAGCCAATTAAGTATAAAGACAAAAAACGAGCCATACTAAGGCATATAGTGCGATCAGACAGGTAAGGCGATGGATATAGTTTAGTATCACAAGTACTTTAAGTGGTGATAAGCTATCCATTTTTGCATATTTTATTTAATATCCTTATATGACAACGTCATCCAAATAATACGTCACTACGAGGTTTCAATTGCGCGATCCATATATCCACATATCCATCCATATAATAATGTCCTTGATTTCTATATTGCACCATAAAAATATTCATCCATAAGACAATGATGTTTCAACTACAATGTTGACTGCAACATAATAAACCAAAATATATTTTTCAAACAACCAGAATGAGTAATAATAAATACTCAAACATGAAATACGCAACAATCATACGCGACATAACATTCATCTGCAAGCAATTCTTAAACATTGGAAATTTATCTTCAAGCCTTATTGTCTGCTAACAATGCGCGGGGCTCCCGAAGTATGCGAACCAAGATGGCGGACATCGGAATGTAATATCTGTACTAGGTTAGGGTTAGGCCATAATTTTAGCTATAAATACTACGGGAGGCTCTTGGCTAATTTTCGAACTGATAATAGGACTAAAATAAGGAAAATTGGAAAAAAATTATCGCCTAACCCTAACCTGTTACCCATGTTACGTTACGACGTCCGCCATCTTGGTTCGCATACTTCGGGAGCACCCAATGCGCTTACATTCAAGTAAGACGATCCCCACTATAGACAAGACGATACGCTGAACAGAGTTTGACAAATAAATTTTCAGTAGACTCGATTTACAGCAATACAAAAATTCAAATTCCACAATATCGATGAAGCATAGACACTGGTTTGAACAAAAAGCGTATATTTACGTCACCGATTCACGTCCAAATACACGAGCGTCGCCTTATAAACCTTCGATTTTATTTCATTCTACCACGTATGAAGCACATATAAGCATATCATATCAAGATACGCAACTTCCAGAGATATGCATGATAAAGCATGTATGGGCCATAGATAAAATACTTCAATAGGATCTTTACGCACGAAGATCATCTCGAGGCTGTCAGACATGCATTATAAAATTTATAAAAAAGATATGTTGAGTGAGTGAAACTTATTTAAAATCAAAGAATCCAACAAAGTTTATTTAAATAGGATGAAAATTCATGGAATATCTGTCGAAGGAAACACAATGAAATATTTTTTAATAGCAATGTTCGCTATATCTTTACAAGGATACCGATGTCCGCTTTGCCCATACTAAAATAGCTATGTTAGTACTAGAATACCGATGTTCGTTATGTCC